GGGGGGGAGGGGCACTCGGAGCGTACATCACGGCGCAAGACATTTTTCAGCCATTATACCCCGCGGCGGGGCGGCGGCGACCAGGGCGGCCGACAGCAGCAGCGGCAGCCGCAGCGAGCAGCTTGCATAAATCAACAGGCTCGCCGGCCGCGGGCGGCGGGCGCCGCACTATTCGTCAATCTTTGAGCAGCACGCGTATTTTACCGTTCGCTAAACTGGCGAGAAGCAAAAATCGACGGCGGAGCGGAAAAATGAATCAATTTCAAGGCCCGCCCGCCAGAGCCGCGCCGCCGCCCCGCCGTTCGCTAAGGCTCCTGCTGCTGCTGCTGGCCCCCAACCCCGACCCCCGCCCCGCCGGCCGAGTAGTCCGTAAGCCTGCCGAGCTGCTTCTGAATTTGGACGAGGCGAGGCACGGGGCCAAAGAAGCATATTGACCTGGGCTCCTCTTCGCTCCAGCCCCTCTCCAATGCCCCCTTCTTGAGGTGCTTTGCTCGCCTGCGCCGCCGCCGCCCAGCCCAGCCCGGGCCCGGTGCGAAAACCAACCCATTTTATTTCTCTCGCCCAACAAGGGGGGCGAAGCCTGGCAAAGCTGGGCGGCCTCCTCCGCCCGCCGTGCCGCCGGGGAGGAAGGCGGGGAGGAAATGACGTTGATGAGGGGAAGCGACCTGCCGCCCCAAGGAAGGCCGCGGTGGTCGCCCCGGGCGCCTCTTGGCATTCACTCGGCGGGGAGCTGCGGACACACGGCTCAGGGCTCCCCTCCCCCATCCCACTCTCTCATGACGTACATGTACAACACTCGGGATGACTTTGGACGCACAAGGAAACAAAAGTCGACTACACGCTTCAATTGCCCGGGATTCTGCGACTGCAGCGGTATACTTACCCAGCGGGGTCACGCTCTTCCACAGCGAGTTGTGCCGGGTGGGGTCGTCCTTCCGCCAGTCCCTCCAGCCGCGGTTGCGGTGCTTGCCCGAGGTGATGGTGATGGTGTGGGTGCCGTTGCTGGCCGGGCCCGGCGTGGACGGCGACCCCGCCTGCGGCTGCCCCTGCGGACTGCCGAGCCCTGCAACAAGTGGACGGACCAGGTCGAGTCGAGTCGAGTGCCATCCTTATGGGCGGCGCTCGGCTCGTGGCGCCCGGACGATGGCGCTTGGGCGACGTGCGCGAAGTACGTGCAGGGAAAGGCCCCTCGGCTCTCCCTCTCTCCACGCGAGAGAGAGAGGGAGAAGGGGGGGAGACAGAGACAGAGAGAGAGAGAGAGAGAGAGAGAGAGAGAGAGAGAGAGAGAGAGAGAGACAGAGAGCGAACTTGCTACCTCACCTGCGCACTCTCCCTCACACCCCAATCAGCCTCCGGACTAACACCAAGCGTATTCGATTTTTTCTCTCCCCCCCCCTCTCTCTCTCTCTCTCTCTCTCTCTCGCCGCGTCTCACGTGGCCTAGCCATGGAGATCAAAGGGCACTCATGTCCCTACCCTTACCCTCCCACCCCGCCGGCCCCGCCCTCGGCTGTGTTCCCTTACTCGCTCACTCGACTGTTTCGCGTGTTCGTGCGCTGGCCGGCGGAAAAATAGAGTGAGGGGATGAGAAATGTTTTCTACCGGCGTTTGAGAGCCGGGACATGGGGGAGGTGGGCGCGCTCGCAGCGGCGCTCGAGTGCATGTTTTCCTTTACCGCCTCGATAACAACCTCGCTCCCCGCTGCTCTTCCCCACCGCGGGCGGGAGAGCAGGGCACCACTCCAGCGTCACCCAGCCGGTTAAAAGCCGGCCGCTCCAGGGCTCTCCAGGGCTCCAGGACGCTCCGGAGGGCTCTCTAGGGGCGTTAGCCGCGCGCAGCTGTCGTCTAATGCGCCGGTGATGGTGCGGCCTGGCCACGGCGTGGCGGCCCCGGCCCACCGCGCCTCCAGGAGATCGATGCGGGGCGGCGGCGTGGTGGCGCGATCCTTCTCCTTGATCCCCCCTCTCTCTCTCTCATACACTCACACACACTCTCACTCACTCACACTCACAGACACACAGAGCGCCCTGCTGTGCAATACAGGACAGCGGATATCATCACTCGCCTCACCGGGGCCGTGAGAAGGAAGGCAACGGGGTCCTTTTCTTGTCGAGAGAGCAGAGCACCTCCACCCTCTGTAACCTCCCTCCCCGCCCCCACCACCCAAACTAATGTTCGCAGCGCTGGACTCGTGATGGTATCAATATCCTCCACAGGTACACGCCACGGAACACTGCCCCGCGGAGGAGCGCTGCTCTGTTCGCAACGGCACGCCACTCCTCGGATGGACGTGATTGGTCGTACCCCCCCTTCTCCCTCCTCCCCCGCAGAGAATCACTCACAGGTACAGCTCCCCCTCCTACCTGGGGCGAGCCGCCCCACCCCGCCAGAACCAAAAGACATTCAAGTCGCGTCCGCGTGTCGGAGTGGATGGCGTTGGGGAGGGAGAGGGGGGGAGGGGGTGCGACCGCAGCCACGACTGCGACGTGGTTGCGACAAGAATGCAATACCCCTCCGCCCCTCGCACTCCTTCGATACGGCGAGCCCCCCGCCCCCACCTTTACACTGGCGGTCGCCTGCAGAACACTTCCGCTACGCTTCGCGGGGCTTCGTCTAGGCCAACGCCGCTGCCGCCGCCCCGTGCGGCGCTCCACTCCTATCCGCCCCCCTCTCCCTGCACCACGCTGCCCCCATCCTGCCCCGTGCCGCCGCCGCCCCCGGCCTCCTCCGGCTCAGGTAATGGAACAGAATTCCGAGAAAAGCGCGTCGGCAAAAGCTGCTCCACTGGGCACAACGGCGACACGGCGCAGGACGCGCGGGGGCCTGGCACAATGCACACGCGCACGCTGCTCCTGCTTCCGCCTCGCGCTTGCCCTTCTTCAGCTTCAACTTTAACGAGAGTTAAAGTGACGTTCGCGGCAAGGTTCGCGTATGAACCTTACACGGTGGAACTCCTTGCAAGATCATCACAAAACGTTCCTTGAATTTCAAGACTTGGTCTAGGATCTCTTCTTGGGGATCGCTGTTAACATCTAAGACTGGGTCTTGTTATTCAAGTATTTTTGTTTTACTCTGCATCACCCTTGTTCACTGTTGGAATCGCTCGGTTGTAAAAGAACTCGAACCAGAACATTTTTCGTGTTTTTGAAAAAACTTCAACAGTTTTAAAATTATATTTTCCTGTCATTCGTTAAAACGCAATTAAGAAATAACAACGTAAAGGGCAATGCGATTCCCGTGTAATGCTAAAGCACAGCACTAATGTACTTCCCGCGCCAACTCTTGTGGCCTTCCGGTGTAACTACATTTCCAACGCGGAGATGGAGAAGGAAGCGCGACTGACAAAGGGGGCTCGCCGGGCCACTAATCTGGGACCCTTGTCTCACTACAAATAAGATGCGGTATGAGAGAGACGCTCGCAGCCCGCGCGGCCCACAGTGACGGTAGTGTTGGTTCCGGTCCGGGTAGCGTTCCACTTCTCTCTCCAAACGTCCCCTGCCTTCTCTCTCTCTCTCACGCTGAGGGGTGGGCGCCGCGAGCAGCAGCCGCGGCCTTTCGCTCTGGTAAGTGCCGGGGAGGGTGTCGCCGCGGCCGCGCGATGTCAGCGTCGTTACGAGGAGGCCGGGGTGTGTCCGCCCGTCCGCGGGGTGGTGGCGGGGCGTGGCGCTGTGGGTGGGTGTCGTTCGGCCTCCCATAACGCACCGCACGACTGCGCTTTTTCGAAGGGGTCGGCCGCGCCGCCCGGCGTGGCGTAGCGTATTGCGTGCTCTCATGAAATGGTAAACACGCAGACCGGGCCTCGCTGGCTGTGCTTTGCTTATCTCTTTTCTCCCCCCCCCCTCCCTGGCTGTGCCCTCCCTCTGCCACGCTGCGAGCCCCGGCCCCCTGCACTCCCCTCTCGCTCGCTCTCGTTCGCTCTCTTTCCGCCTCACTTACGAATCGCCGCCCGAACTTCTAATTCCCGGGAACGGGGCTCCTGGGAGCCGTGTGTGAGGGTACCCGCGCTCCATCCCCCTTCCGCTCGGCCGGCGTTCACGCTAGCGGGGTGCAACTAGGGAGGAGGGACAGCCCCAAACGCCCCACCCCGCCCTGCCCCGCCCTGCCCCGCCTTGGCGGACACCTGACGCTCCCGCCTTTCGTATTAATCCCGTCGTTAACGTGCATCGGTCCGTCGGTCCTCCTCCTCCTTCTGCATGGCGGACGCTAGAGTTTCTGTGTGTGTGTGTGTGTGTGTGTGTGTGTGTGTGTGTGAGAGAGAGAGAGGAAGAGAGAGGCATCCGCGTGCACTGCAAAAAAGAAAGACGATACTTTATGGAAATGTCTCGAGAGGAAATCG